CGTCTCTCTCTCTCTCTCTCTCTCTCCTCCTCTCTCTCTCTCTCTCTCTCTCCCCCCCTCTCTCTTTCTCTCTCTCTCAAAGTATATTAATTTACATACTTTTTTCGCACGATCGTGAAGTTTTCCATGTAAATCTTGGATTATAATCTCGAGCTTTGTAAGCATCGCGCTTAGTACTTCGTGTAAGAATGCAAGACTCGGTATGCCCCGAGGGTTAAATATCGTGGTTATTATACTCTGTTAGGGGTTTGTACACCTTGCAACTTCGTCATGCTTAATATACCCAATTTAATACGGTAACACTGCAGCGAATTTACATTCAATGCAATTTAAAAATATTGAGGAATTAATTTAACATTATCTGTGAAATAGTGAGTTTATTTAAAAATACAACGAACAAGTTGATTTATTTGAACGTTTAAATAGATGCGGTGACAAAACTGTACTATATCAAGACATATCACCCTTTTATTTAAATCTAATGACTTTAAAATCATGCAGATGTTGGGTCACCGCGGCACATATGGGCCGAATGGGCTACCACCCTAGGGTGCCAGAAGCCGAAAAGCACTCCGGCACTCTGTTAGATAGAATCATAATATATTTTTCCCAATTTCGGGCTAAAAATTTTTCCAATTACATTAAAAATAGAATTGGATTGCATCACTGGCATCAAATTAGATAATAGGATTAAGAATTGTTTATTTGAAAGTATACTGTAAAAAAATCACATATGATATATAATGTCTCATACTATCATACAACGCGTATAATTTGTGTTTTCGCGTACACACTTTTTTCTAGCGTTGGAAAATACGCTTCTCTTTGTGATTATTATTAATTAATGTACATTGAATTTGTATCCAAGTGCTTCAAGATTGTTCAGTATAGCCATCTTCTATATTTTATGTTTCCCGCCGCGTAATAGAAATAAGGTGCAACATGCACGATCATAGTGTTTGCCTTCTCATGTAAGAAAACAGCGCTCGCTACCCTGCGGGCCAAATATTGCGGCGTGGCATACTTCGCCATGGGACTTTGATACACAGCTGCCGCCGTGCTTAACATATTCAATTTAATACAGTAACACCATGGAGACCATACTTAATTTGCATCGGGAGATTCGATCCGAGAGTAGCATATGTATACGCCCTGAAACCAAACCGATCAAGATGATTGGATATACAGATCGTATCAGAAGTTTTCTCCCGCTTGCCGAATAAATTTTACATTTTTTATTTGTTAAGTAGAGCGATTACTAGTAAAAGGACTAAAAATACACTTCTTCAATATGAATCGCAAAGGTGAATTAATTATTTGTAATTTTTCACCTGGACAGTTATTGCGCCACATTTGGAGACAAAAGACGAGAATATTTGGAATTTTAACGCAAGAGATCTAATAATAATCAATTTTATATTTTTTTTTCCTGATACATTTATACTCTCCAACATAACGTATATATAACATTCTTTTATTCTATTCTATTTGCAATGACCGATTCAGTCTGACACAATATTATCTGATTTAAAAAAATGCGACACCGCATATTTCGTTTATATATTGCCATTAATATATAATGCTAAGCGACGGAATAAATTAGGATTTGCTTATAATGCGGAGCTTATACGTTGAAAGAAAGTAATTAAATAAATTGATATTTACGATTATAGCTTCTCTTAGCGAAATTGTTTTATCAGCGGGAAAGGGAATATCTAGGTAGGTGTGGTTGGGAAAAAAATATTAGTTGACAGAAATTATTTATCTAATTCCCTTGAAACGATCTGGGTCAATTTCACGACCTTTCCATGTCTCCTCTCTCGGCTTATGGCTTTATCTCATGCAAATATGATAAGTGATGCGATTCTTCCTAATGGAGTTGCTTTTTTCTTACAGGACCGGGAGATCGATCTCGCCGGTGGGTGGAGATAGAAAGGTCAGGGTGCGGAGATCGCGCGCGGGAAAGAAAGCACGGGCGTCGAATAAAGACGGAGAGGAGAACAGGTAAGCATTGAGCCCGCCGATCACGGCCGCGCGCGCGGCACCGGCCTGGAAAAACGAGGCAGATCCGGCTTCTTCCAGGCGAGAATTGAGATGTAGTCGAGGGAAAGGTGTCCCGTTGTTTAAAGAGCCGCGCAGTCGGTAGATCCCCTCGAGGGATCCTGAGGGATAGGTTGGATGAGCGCGCGAGGGGAGGCGGCGGAGTTAGAGGGTCTCGCTCTCGGGTAGATTTCGGGGGTAGATACCGGGCAAGGCTGTAGGCCGTTTGCTATAGTGCGCACGTACCAGGAGGCGAGGAGGGAGGAGGAAAGGAGGCGAGCAGGGCGAGTGGAGCGAGCGAGAGGGCAAGCGCGCGCGGGGCGGAAGGAGAAGGGGCGAAAGAGGGAGCGAGTGAGAGAGCGAAGCGGAGGGATTCGCGGTATAGCTTCGACTTTGGCCGTGCCGCAGTGGTATCGAGCGGCAACCCCACCTTTCACCCCGGTCTCCTACCACCCCTCGTCCGCGCCACCCGCTGCCCCTCGTTCGAGCCACAGCGCCGCCACCATTCCACCTACCCTAGAGAGCGTTATAGCGCTCTAAGCGCAAGTGCGCTCGCACGAACGCCGCGAATACTCTTTCTCTCTTCTTTTTTTTCCCCCTCCCTTCTCCACCCCCTCCCCTCCCCCGCCCGCCCGCGCGAATTCTATTCTTCATCTCCTCGTCCCTTCGCTCTAGCCCGCAACCCGTCTCGGTATTACCTTCCTCTTTTTCGCGGTTGTGTACCATACCACGTGATGGTGGACTAGAGATACTCTATTTAATGAGCCACGTACCGTGAAATGCCTCGAGTATCAGGGTCGGAAACGTAAACATTTAGTTCTTTCGAATGCATCGTTCGCTGTAATAGCGGAAATAGTGAGGACGGGACGGATACGCGAATTTGATAGACGACCGCTTCACCGCAGCCGCTGATAACAGTAATGACATGACCTCCTTCGCGCGCGCAAGAAGAGTCCTTCTTCTGCTGGGGAAAAATTCTGCTCTTCTCCGTGAGAGGAACATCCTTTCGGGACGACGTGCAGTTCACATATCAACTGTGCTCGTTTGAATAACCTTCCCTCGAGAACATCTTCGAAAATCTTGCACTATTCAGAACAGTTAAGGGATAACTTGATATATTCACATGACGAGTTATTCAGACACTCGATTTCTTTTCTCTCTCTCCTCCTCTTTCGTTTCCTTTTGTTTACACTTGTATTGCAGCTAAACATAGTTATTTTAATTACACGCAATAAACTATGCGTTACAATAGACAGAAAGATGTCGGAGATGAGAACTACGTAATTACGGATAAAAAGCGATCCGTTGAAACGACGAACGAGTATATAAATAAAAGCGGCAAGAGTAAAAATAAAATGGTCTTATCAGCGAAATAATACGTACCTCTCGCAGAGAATCGCGCGCTCTAGCTATCCCCGGCAGTGTAATTACTTACAGTCGATTTAATTCAGTACGGTGTTGCTTGAAATATTTTTATATCACGGCGCTTACGGACAAACGAGCATCAGACAGAAACTGCCGTGCAAAAGGAGTTTTGTTTTTATCACGATAATAATCCGACTGACGTAATACAGCGCGTAAGGGGACAGTCGCGCTCTCTGTTCCCTCTCCCTCTTTCTCTCTCTCTCTCTCTCTTTATTTTACTCTCTTTCTTCTCCGCTTTCTTTTAACATTTACGTTTTCATGTATGTTAACAAAAATATAGCGTTACGACCAAAATATAATTTCTTTTGGCCGTTTATTTATATGAAAGATGTCAAACAAACTTTTAGATTTTTCCGCTTTTTCTCAAAACCCATTGTCGGCCGCGCTTAAGAACGCCTCGCAGTCATGAAATTTCACGATTTTTCTCCGCTAATTTCAACCCTCGCCTCAGCGCGTCTCAGTTTTCCTTAAAAGATTTTCCGCCGCGAGGAACACGGTGCATCTACACGGACTACAATGTTACAGTGGCGTATAAATTAAAAAAAAGGGGGATGGAAAAAAAGGGAAAGAAAAGTAAAAAGATTCTGGCCCCGGGGTAATCTGCTTTGCGGCTTACGCTCTCTCTCTCTCTCTCTCTCTCTCTCTCTCTCTCTCTCTCTCTCTCTCTCTCTCTCTCTCTCTCTCTCTCTCTCTCTCTCTCTCTCTCTCTCTCTCTCTCTCTCTCTCTCTCTCTCTCTCTTTCTTTCTCTTTCTCCAAAGTCGGCCAGCCATGTTAAAATTGCTAATATCAGTAAAACAAAAATTTCCGGCACACGCGAATGACGGGCCGAGCTTTTTCGCTCAACGATGGCGTTTCCATTCGCCGGGCTTTGCCGCCGCGTGTATTAATACACGCGGCTCGAATCATGGGGTGAGATCGGGACGTTAATCAGGAATACAAAGCCAATGTTCGGGCGTTGTTTTGCTTCTTAATCGAACGTGGACGGGGGTCACCTGCATTTGCACAATGTTCCGGACTACGGTTTTGTCGACGAGGCAACGACCGCGGAACAGCTAGCTATGTTCGAAATTAGCATTGAAAATTCTACGGCTCTCCGCCTCGCTACGTGCCACCGCGGGTTCCGAAGGTGTATTATTTGGTTATAGATATAGGTTATATAAATTTACATATTATTCGTCCCGCGAAGTGATTGCAACTTTTACAAAGTATTTGTAACGGATTGCACGGACCGTGTTATGCGAAAATTACCCGTGCTTCCGTAGTAAATTAACTTTCAAATGTACAGCTTTATGTGGTCGACACCCAACAATGTGCATAATTCATTCACCTTTTTTTTAATTTTATGGGTTAATTCAGTCTTGTGCAAAAATGTACATATGGATGCAATTACACAATGTGGAATTAATTTCAAGAACCAGTTCCTCGACTACAAGCGAAAGTGTCTTATAAAATACTTTTACGTAATAATTCAAGTTTTCGTGAAAAATGTCTGCAATATTTTTTTTCTAAAATTGTTTTACATAACAGCTTCCGATTTATTGTTGAGAGTTATAGCTTCATAAACTTAGACTGCCGAAAACAGTGTCAGTAAATCTTGTTCGGTAAGGATAAAAATACGGAAACTTCTGGAATTTCCATTTTCTTCGACAGAATTCGTTATATTTTGTTTGCGCATAAGAAATGCAATAGATAGAAAGAAGCTATCACTTTCGGTATTGTATTACATTAGGAAATAGCAATAAATGTAGTTATATCGTACGAAACAGTTGTGGAATATTTAGTTCTATATTTACTCGAAAATATAAGATTTAAGCGAATTTCATTAAAATCGAGGAGAAATTATTACAATATGTTTAAAAAGGATATTTAAGATAAATTAAAACTCGATGTGATCATATTTGGTATATTAAAATTAGAATTTTCGTCTAATAATCTTCTAAACAAACCGCGAGCATCTGTTTTTGAATTCGTTTCTATGTTCGCTTAATTGGATTCAATTGTATTATCGTGAATTTCGATGCTTCGAAATTCGAGGCTTGGTAAATGGCTCGCTTGAAATCGGAAAATCTGATACAATAAACAAAACATGTTAACAAGGTGAAGAAATTGATAAAATACTGCAGTTTACAGTTCACGTTAGGATATTTTTAATCTCTGACAAAAAACTGACATTTGTATTTGTAAAATTCGTAAATTAGTGATTAACGTGCGGAATAAAATCTAGCCACGGTATGACAATATTGGAAGTATGAATTTATAATGGACCTACTCTCGCACTGCTCGTTACGTGTGCAAAGCGAAAGCTGCCGTGCGCGCGCGGCCGGCGCTGGCTGTGATAATAAAGCCGGCGTAGTAAATGCTTAACGTAGTCGCGTAATTGCCATAGTGGTGTAATGGCGTGTCGTTTCGCCCGCGAGGGAAAACGGACAAAAATCAATGGGTAGAAACCGCTGCTGAAACGGGACTGGCCGAAGGCTATTCTCGACCGGACTGTGAGAGGTCGGCGCACTTATTTATTTAACCCCTTAAAATGGCTGCGCTATCTACTTTGTCGCCACTTCACTGTCTATTCACGTCTCGCTATGTTCGATGTGTCACGATCGGCACGCGAGCGCGAAGTGACACTATGATTTCGAGAAATTCCGACGGCAGTCAAATTAACTAGATCGAAAATAAAAAATTACAAGACCGTTTTAAACGCATCACTTTATATTTAAAGCAGACCCTTCCAGGTTATGGGTTTATTTTACTCTTGCTTTGAAGTCTTCGATTAAACCCTGTACGCCACGGATTTTTCAATTTTCCGTGAAATGTGCTGAGGGCTTACGTCCTGCTATTGAAAGTGGAATTAAGCCCAGAATTAATTCGCTTTTCATGATATTCGAGTACAAACGATCGATATAATGGTTTCTAATCGACTAAAATTTTTTTTATACGACAGGTAGCAATCTTATCACTTATATGTATGACTCGGTTATGTGTCGTTGACTGTCATCGCCGACAAATTGCGCCCAATTGGATATCCACCGCATTAGCTCGTGGCACAATTTTCTTACAGTAGAGAAGTTAGCGAGTTAACTCATCAAATTTTACTTAATCTAAGAATTTAAAAATAGATTTAAGTAATATTTAGCTATTTATTAGTTGAATAATGTACAATAAAAAATTTTTGCTAAATTTGAAATATATGAAAAGTTTAGAACGAGTATTTTAGGCTCCGCAAGCTCAGAGCACACCGCTTTAAATATGAAATTGTGTTTAAATATAAAGTAAGAATTACAAATCATAGATTTATGCCAGTTTTAGTTTGAAAATTAATTTATTAATTCATACATTGTGTAATGACATTTTATCATTATTTATTAATTTTGAATCGTTCTTTTAGTGTAAACATTTGAGATGTGCAATAAATAAAAAATTGAATTTTTTTAATTTGTCGCTCATGTCTACTAATAAAAATATGAGATTGAAATATTTTAAGTATTATTATCGTTTTTTTCAATATTGATTGATTGCCAACCGTGTGAATCGTGTGCGCAAATTCGGCTCGGTGATGAATTCCGTACTGACAACCTGACATTCGGTGGTTAACCGTGCACCGAGAAATGATTGATTGAGAGCAAATTATAAAAATAGAAAAGAGAAAAAAAATATCTGCAAAAGGATACGTGAACTGATATTAAAACAATGCATCATGTTCTAAAATTATGACGCAAAAACACAATCGGAGAGATAAAAATTCATATGTAACGTAAAAGTGAAGATATCTATTCTTCTCGCGGTCTCAAATACACGCGAAAGTACAAAGTTAAAATATAACTTCCTTCCGAAAATTTAATCAGTCAACTTAATTTTCTTTTACGCTGGCCATTTTTATTACTTTTGCCGGAGGTGAGCGGAATATATGATTGCGTTACACGAGGAACAAAACGGGCACACGGTCGCTCCTCGCGTCCCTCATCCCGAAGAAAAGCCAGTAAAAATCAATGAACCAAAGCGCGGAACTAGCCCAGGGCTCTTCTCAGCCTGTTGAATGAGCGAACTAACGTTACCCGTAAGAACTGGTTTAACTGTTGGACGAAAACGTGTCTATATTGGCTTCCTGCAATATCGATTGCCCGAATCCGTCGGAACTGATCACATCGCGGGCGCGGAAAAGAAATGGAACATCACGATTGAGAGGAGAGAACGTTACGAGCGAAGTTGCGGATTGCGAATCACCCACATTTCCGTTTTGTTTTCCATTAGATGAAGGGGAAAATTGAGAGTACGGTACGTACCGGAAGAGCTGTCCGCCGCCTGCGTTTTAATGGTTCGTTGCGCGCGAAACGTGAAGCGACATCTCGTTCCCAGGAATTTGTCAAAAGATATTCGCCCGAACTGGTATCTCGCGTTCGTTGTGAAATATTTGATAGTGTAGCGTGGCAGCAGGCAAGAAACGGTGACAGAAATCGCCTGTAGGCGACTGGTTCAGGACCTTGCCGGGTTACTTTGCGAGGTCGTCGTACTCATTTATTCATCTCCTCTTAAAAAACTGCGCCGCGCTACGTGCGCGCGCGCGCGCGCCGCACCATGCCCCCCCCCCTCCTCACTTTCTAGTCGACTCTCGTTTTATCTTCGGTCGAAAGAAAATTCGCTCCAGAATTCTGAGAAAAATTTAACGTCGAATGAGCACTTGCATGCGCGCGCGCGCGCACACACACACGCACACACACACCACCATTTCCGAGATATTCTACTCAAATCTATTTCAACTTTACCCACGTAAAACGCTAGCGAAAGAGAATTGATTTACACAGCATGATGGTCTCCCCATTGACTTTTCTCGTGGATAAATAAGATATCTCGTCCTTTTTACTTTTTATTCATTCTCGGTATCCAACAGTGAACATAGTTGTGAAGGAGTTAAGAGCTCGTTGTTTCAGTCCATTTTTATTATTATCGCGTTTTATTGTTATCTTATTCTATTATTTTATTATTCGCGCGATCATATTGTGCGATTTAGAAGGTGGCAATGGTGAGGAGTGAAATTTACGGAGTTACTTCGCGCCTTAGATCGTTATACTTTCCAAGCTGGCGGAGTAGCCCTTCACCGGAGGCATTCACGACGCACTTCGAAAAATTTATGATCGACTGCTCGTAAAGAGCAAAATATACAAAGGTGGGCGAGAGACAAAAGTTCGATACACGAAACAGTTTGGTTTCGCTCACTGACGAGCGTGCGCATAATGCAATGCTTAATAATACCATTAATGCTGGTATATTCTCCGGGTATTTACCGAATCCGATATTGCGCTGATATTTTAACGCTGTGCGTTAACATTCTCTCTCTCTCTCTCTCCCTTCCTCCCTCTCCACCTCTCTCGATGCATTATACATTTATTATCGACGCGGCGGCAATATCGCAGCGAGATTCGAACGTCTCGCTTAATAACGCGGATTATAAGATAATTTAATTTTTTATTAATTCTTTGCCCATTATTAATTTTTAATTCGTTATTAATTTTTTACCATTCACTTCGGAAAATCAATGTCCAATCACGGATAGAGATAATCACAAATTAATATTTAAATCCGACTAAAACAAGATACGTCATCACAAATCGAACGGCACGTTGTCGGCACGATGGATATATTAGTTAATGGGACATTATCATAACTAATGCAAAAGTCCTTTTGCTAAATCCAATAATTTACCGAGAATCACTGCGGATAAGAAGTAAAGCGGCTTACTTGGAGCTCACGAGTATTTCTCCAATTATAGCGCGTGCGTGTACATAAAACGGCGCGGTTCTCGCAATCCAGAGCGTATGTAATCTGGTTAAAGCGTATTCGGAGTACTCCGTGCTGCATCTAGCTATTGTTCGGGCGACTACATTTCGGCCGACTACATTTCGGCCGACCGAAACTGTACTCGGAAACCATTTTGAAACACAAGCGCGTGCTGTTTTCTTGCAACGGATTAATTAATATGAGCGCCGCGATCGTCTCGCAAGAATACATCAACAAAATTTGTATTCTCGCGCAAGAATTAGAAGGTAAAAATGATTTTTCATGCGGACGGACTGCGCATCTTGTACTCCTATCTTTTATTATTCATTGCGAAATCTAATTAAGTAGAACGTAGTATTATGTTTGAGTGTCTTACCTGTTTGTTTTGCAGAATGGCTTCGTATCGGTGGACGGTCGCGGGAAGCTCACTTGCGACCTACAAAACAAATATTTCGCTTCGTGAATTCAAAGAGGCATAAAATTCTGGCCTTTAACATTTAAAAGCACAAGTGTAAAAGTTGCACGACTGAATTGTATTTTAGCTCTCATCGATGCTCAGTGCACTCGTTTTCTTTCATCGCTTCAGAGGAAAGAAATTTGTGCGGGAATGTGTAGCGTGTGTCGCAAGAGGCAACGGGATGCGCGATCAAATAGGATATGACGGAGGAAATAATTGGTAGGAATTATTTAACTGCTGCACGCGGATTAAAATTTCTCCGTCAGGAAATAAAAATTGACCTGTACGTCCACGCATTAGGAGCAATGACCTTGTGCACCCCAGACGGATACATATGAGAAGCGTGTATTTTTAGCGAGACACCACGGCGGGAATTCGCGACATAGGCGCCGAGCGCGATAATTGCACATCTGAGATTTTCGAGCATTATTATTGTCACAGTCGTTCGATTATTTCATCGATTTAGTAGAAATGTTTAAAAGAAAATTGAAATTTAAATACTGTTTTACGCAAATATGAACAAGCAAATTCATTGAATATTCTGCTATATTTCAAATTAATTTATTCAAACCTGTTTAATGACTCAATTTATCTCTGCGTATTCTATTTTAAATGATAAAAGTATTGATCGATAATATATTTTGCACAAGTTAGAGCGCATTAAAGACAAATTTCGTTATAAAAGCTCATCAATATTCCAAATGAATCGACGCCAATGTTAAGTCTGGATATCTACGGTTAAGACGCGACGGGGGGCTAAATCGGGACTGTCTCGCTTGTAGTTAAAGCTCGAATAAGTGTAGAAGCATTAACTTCCACCATGGTATACTCCTTGTATTTTTGCACCTGACACATGATGTGCAAGTTGCGCTAAAGCTAAAAAGATTAAAGCTGCTCGCGCGCCGACAGTCTGGGTTAAGCAAGTCTAAGTTCTTGGAACTAAAGTGTAGGCAGAGAAGGAGGATCAAGATATGACCAGAATTAGAACTATCCGACGCCGCGACCCGTCTACCGTCTACATTCCGCAATATGGCTGATCCGATAATTTAATAGTAAGTTTAACGACGGAAGCGATATATTATTTACGAGGTAGATATTTTACGGTTTAAACCGAATATTATTTACACGAAATAAAAATGCGCTTTTATTTCACGTATTATCCTGAAAAGAAATATTTCCGCTCCTAGCTTCGGCGTCTATTGTCTTTTTTTACATAATCCTTTATATCCGATAATTGCGAAGCTAGAAAAACTTTGTTTCTACATTTGCGATATATGATATAATCGGTTTTTCCTGCGAGGAAAAGTAAGCGAAAATATCGAGTTACATTAACGTTCGTAAACGTTTCCGGCGCAAATGAGGTGTTCTCGAGGTAACATCAAGCAACATGGAAGCTCGACCCAGGGGTTGATGTACAGGGATGCTGAACTATTCCACCATTTCGATAGGTTGTTGGCAGAAATCCGAGCGGGTCTCATCATTAAGTAAGAATCCATTACCGCGTTAGTGGCACGTCAATAACGAGAGACGGCGGAGGTCGCGTTAAATTATTCCTGTAACATCAAGGTGAACGAACACGGAGAGTCCTTTCTGCGCCTTTCTCTACATTATTAAAAAGAGAGAGAGAGGGAGAAAGAGGGAGAAAAGATACGGTCTATTTAAAAGTATAATTACCTATGAGGATATATCTTTTCTGACAGTTTCTCGATCGCTATCGGGAAATAAGTCTTACTCACCAAGATTTTATCGGTTTCAAATCTATTCTTATCTATCATCTATTTGTTTGTTCGTATCCCACGCGGTATCTCCTTGTATCGCATGTATCGCGTATCAGCGCAGCGAAAAGAATCTATATGCGATACAATATACACAGATACGTATCCCCGTATTTCTCGTACTCGTTCGGATTTTTCGTCTTGGATTGCAATCTGTAGCGCGGGAAATACGAAAATCTCCGACGTGCATCGGGATATAAAAATAAATATTGAGAAACGCTTGTGATCGTCCTTGTCATCGAATATTTGCCCTCCCGCGAATTCGCAATCATATTCGTATTGCTCCATCTTGCCGCATGCAAAACGAGTTAAAGAGAAGCCGGACTCCTCTCATCATCCGCGCGCTCTCGCTGGGTGGGCCCGCTACGCGAAAAAGTTTCAAACGGATTTCTCAGGGCGAGCGCGCTATTTTTCGGGGAAACCTCGACCGGGGGATAAGGCTTGGAAGTACCCAATTACCGAGGAACACAATACCCGGGAAATTTTTGCGAAGAAACTCGGAGCTAGAAGTAACTCGTTTCGAAGGCATCGCTTTCGAACGACGTCGAAAGTATCGATTCCCAAAGGCCGTTCTCCGATTCCCGTTCGTTTCTCCTTCGCGTTCCCCGCGTCCGATCGTACCCTTTCCATCGAAATGGTGAAGCTTTTATCTCACTTGAGAGAGAGAGAGAGAGAGAGAGAGAGAGAGAGAGAGAGAGAGAGAGAGAGAGAGAGTAGTAGTAGTACGTACGTACGTCGTACCG